TTTTTACCAAATCTGAACGTTTTTAATCATAAATTGCAAAAATCACTGTTTTTACCAGAAATATGTATTTTTTTTCCATTTCGTTTTTTGAACTGAATGTCCCATTTAATTGAGGTCTGGAAAAAGTACAAAAAAGGTTTAATATGTAAATATTTATTTTTGATAATTTTTGCTCTCCCATGGAGAATTGCCCATTTGTCAAAGTTCATCAGAAACAAGGAAAGTAAAGTTGAAAGTTGGCCTATATATTCACTGACACAGATCTTCTTTGATCGTTTGTTTTCTTCATCAGCCTTTACACTTATTGGGGGGCTGGTGTTTGGTGATCTTCATCTCCGTAAGTGTTGCTGTCGCGTTTAGAGTCGCTCGAACTCAAAGAAGGGCTGCTGTCATCGTGACCTCAACGAGAGGTGAGATTTGCATTGGCTTCTCTGAGTCCTATCTCACATAAATCATAACAAAGAATGAACAAAGAAGGTACTAAATTAATTATTTTGTATGAGTTAGCCTTAAAATGAGTGACTGTAAATGTAGAGAATATGGTTGAAGACTATTATAGGGTCATACCTGGGCACGAAAAAGTAGGTGTGTTTGTCGCGACACATTGAGCAAGTTCGTGCACAGTTTACGGCAACCAATCGGTATATGGGCGCAGCCAAATTATCTTCATATCATCTTCATCAACTGAACAGTTTTTTTGAAATAGTTTTTCTCGCCTGTCAACTGCCATAAGTATTTTTTACTTGTCTCTATCAGGTTTATATTGCTTATTAATTATTTGTATTTCATTTTAACTATTTTGTTTACTGTACGAATCTTCCGTTCCGTGTTTTTATGTTGTTGTTGTTGTGTTGGTGTTGTTGTGTTGTGTTGTCTTGTTATGTTATGTTTTGTTTTGTTATGTTTTGTCTTGTCTTGTCTTGTCTTGTCTTGTCTTGTCTTGTCTTGTCTTGTCTTGTCTTGTCTTGTCTTGTCTTGTCTTGTCTCGTCTCGTCTCGTCTCGTCTCGTATTGTCTTGTCTTGTCTTGTCTTGTCTTGTCTTGACTTGACTTCTCTTGTTTTGTTTCATTTTGTTAAGTCTTATCCTGTCTTGTTTTGCTTTGTTTGTTTGTTGGGGTGTTTGTTTGTTTGCTTTTTTTGTTTGTTGGTTTTGTTTTGGTTTGTTTGTCTGTTTTTTCCCCCAGTCTTGTATAATCTGCATGTTGTTAGGTTTTTACGCCAGCTATTCTTGCCTTTGAGAAAACTGTGGTCAGGGTTGTAACTGTTAATCCTTTGAATCTAATTATCTTTTTAAGTATTATTTTTAAGGCGGTCTTATTTTTCATTGAATTTTGTACCTATTTTAAAATATATTTTGTATGTTACATGTACCATTCAAGTTAGGATTGACAGGCTTTCGAGTCACAGTGTTTTATTATACTTTTGTCAATCCTGGCCAGCTTGGATTGGATTGTTTTTGTTAAGTTTTGTTTACTTTTGTGGATTGCTTGTTGTACCTTGTAATTTGGCCGAATAAATAATAATAGTAATAATAATAATAATAATAACAGTATGCAAACTGTGACAAGGACATTCTTTTGTTAACGTTTATGTGCCGTGGACTCGTGATTTGATTTGTGATGAATGAACTTACGATTGGCTTGATTACAAAAGAGTGTACATCACCTGAGGGCGATTATAGATGGTTCGCACTGCTTGCGGCCATCTGTGAGGTGTATGCTTTTGTTCATCAGGGACAGACCTCTTTGGCATTCATTGTTAATAAATTAGCATAACAAAGCACACCTCCAATATGGCGAAAATGTAATCAGTCTTTTCAGATGAAGCGGGAATATTTTCTATTCTCTTATTCCTCTGTTCTCGACCCGCAGTTGCACCACCCACGTCTGTAGTCACAGTGTCCACCGGCAATCCAGCCACCAGGGTTGGTCCGTATCAGCAGTTCGAGAACCCACCCAGCTACACCCCCAACTAGGTTGGGCAGTCTGCAGTTGGAGTCATGCAAGCAAATGCTTTGCTTAGAAGGCTGGTATTTCAACTATAGGCCTACAGATCTCAAAGCCTTTTTAAACTCATTTCAATCAAGACAGCTTTGCTTTAGGTAAAATTGTGTATTGGATTGGTCTGCTTTGATGGAATAAGTTCAGATTTTTTTGTACATGTATATGTTACTTAGACAAACTGAATGTATACGCATGTATATTATATATTAATGGTTTACATTATAAAGTTGATGTTTTTAGGATGTACTTAGATTTCCTATGAAGAGTTTATTTCCAATACGCGATATTTATCCATTTGAAAAAATAGTGAACAATTTTCACGGTTATGAAACTTTTAAGAATACAAACAATATAACAACTGTTGCCAAACTACGTGTTTCAGATTTAATGTATGTTCTGATTGTGTTTAACTATAATAACAGCCGTCGAAACTGACATTAAGCAACCAGGAGAGAGTGGGATTCTTAAAGGGTACAACATGGCGTTAATCGGGAATTGGAAATAAACTCTCCATATTCAACTTTCATTGAAATTGCAATGAGACGTGTCAAACGTTACTTTAATAGACTTTGATTTTTAAAAACAATTTTTCAAAGCTCGCCTCTACGGAAAATATACATTTGATTTCTCGTTGGTATATGAAAAAGTGAATTGCCGCTGGTATACCTAGTCTGGCTACTTTTCATGACATTGAGCTTTTCAAGAACGCCAAGTCTGTCAAGGTTGATAATAACATAAAACGACTTCCAGGAAGAACTAGAAACAAATTTGAGTTAAATACATTGGAGGTAAATTTGACTTTTGTTAGTTTTAGAAAATGTCGTAACATTTGTACTCAATTCTAATGAATCGCCTTTTTGTCATCAAAAGGTACCTTTGAATCTTGTAAAAAAAACAATTTGTTTCAAATCATTTACCTTTGATGACTTACCAGTCTCAGCTTATGGACCATTTTTATGAAGTCCATATGTAATAAAACTTTATGTAATAATCTGCATGACATAATATAGGATCTTTCGTTAAACTTATCGAAGTTGCCTTTTTTTAACATTAAGCATGCCTAATTATTATTTATTTCAGGTTTCCAGTGGTAAAAATAAATAAGAGGTGTGTGTGTTTGTTCAACAAGGACAGACCTCTTGGGCAATCCCTGTAAATGATTCGCAACGTAGACTACATCGTAGTAATTGTTGGAAGGAGTCCATGGACCTGGGATATTGGTCATGTGCCTTTACTCATCCATCTTCGTATGCATTATCATTTCATTATAATCAACAGTATTATTAATAATTGTCCTAATCAGTAGGAAATCAAACAATCATCTAGTCAGCAATTTATCATCAAGTTTAACTCAAATCCTGCCCTTAATACAGCCGCTTTCAGACTAAATGTACAGCTTTTCTTTGCCATGCAGAAGTACCTTAACTAAATTTGACCATATAAGTTGGAATTTAGCGTCGGGGTGATATCAAATTAGGTTTTGCCCTTCACCGACGTTTAAACACTGTTTACTCAGTGTGTTACCTCCCGAGTGAAAGTTGGAAAGATCACTCGGGTGGGACTCGAACCCACGACCTCCTGCTTTCTAGTGCAGATGTCTTATACCACTCAAACACCGAGCTAACGGGATCGGTTGGCTAGTTCGAATCTGGTGTACTATACTCAGTGTGTTACCGCCCGAGTGAAAGATGGAAAAAATCACTCGGGTGTGACTCGAACCCACGACCTCCTGCTTTCTAGTGCAGATGTCTTACCACCGAGATTACAATGGAAAGACTTTAAACGTCAGTGAAGGGCAAAACCTAATTTGATTTGTATCAGCCCGGCGCCAAATTCCATCTTATAGTTTATACGGTACCCGCTGCTATATGTACATCAGATTCGAACCAGCCAGTCGATCCCGTTAGCTCGGTGGTCGAGTGGTAAGACATCTGCACTAGAAAGCAGGAAGTCGTGGGTTCGAGTCCCACCCGAGTGATTTTTTCCATCTTTCACTCGGGAGGTAACACACTGAGTATACTGTGACGTGTGGTGCCAGCTCTCCTGCGTCAGGCTGGTTTGGGTGGTAGCGTGCCGTCCCGATGGTGTCCTATCCCTGCAGTGGTGGGCCACAGCACCAGGCTATCCCCTAATCTTGGTTGATCGGATCAGCCAGTAGACTGGTAGTCAGGGCAATGGAGCAGGGGAATGGAAGTGGAGTAGGAATGGGGTGGAATAGGCGGAGTCGGAATGGGGGTGGACCAACTTATATCCCTTGGGGCTTTGCCCTCAGTCCTAAGTAGACCCTATGCCCTAAGACAGACTAGTAATTGGTGAACAGAAACAGTAATCAAGTACGGTGGTCAAGCCTTTAATCGTTATCATCTGTCATGTCATTCCACATAATCAAGAGCCTTAACAATTATTCTGATCATAAGAGAATCAAGCAATCAACTGACTAAATCCTAGCCCTGCAACCCCATTTTACAGACTCTGAGCCCCATAAGCTAGTGTACAACTTCTCTTTGCCATACAACAGTGCATAAACTCAATTGACCAATCAGAAACAAGGATCCCTTATATGCAAAGTGTGGGTGACTCACAGTGTGCTAGTGTATTTAAAACATACAGTTGGTGACTTAATTCCTATTCCGTCACAATACAGTGTTTTAAACGTCGGTGAAGGGCAAAACCTAATTTGATAAATTTGACCAACTACCAAGATTCCCCAATATGAAAAGTGTGGGCGACTCGCATGTTTTTCTATGGTGTTTGAACATACGATTGGCGAATATACATTTATAGTTCGTGTTCCGTCCCAATATTCTGCTTTTATAATTTACTACATGCAAACAACGATGCTGTATAGCCCATGTCAATAATTATATGCAATTAAATTTTATATTATTTTTGTGTCAATCAAAATCTCTATGACTCTGAAAGAAAAGGCAAATGTTAGTTACTATTAACTATCAGTTTTCATCAAACCGAGTTATTTTTCAGCAAAGATTGGAAAACCCGAGCTCGAGTGGTCATTGGAAAGTTGGCACTAAAGAGCTGGGGGCTATGTCATTTTGTGTGTTTAGAATTTTTGAACTGGTCCACCATAGCCCTCAGTCAGAATGTAAGAGGCCGGAATAAGTCCTTAAATCTTAGCGCAAACGTCATGCATTTTATATTTAATGTATTTGTTTGTTTGTTGGTTTGTTTGCTGGTGTGTTTAAGTTATCATATTTCCAATTAAGCATTAGAGCGGGTTTCCTAAACATGTGTGATGAACGGAACTCGCCGAACAGGACATCGACATGCACAACAGCCGACGACCTCGAATCGCATACAGATGCATTGGGTATCATCTGTACACGCCGTAGGCACGATGCGCAGGAACCTGGCCTGGAACGCTCTCGGGAAAGAAGTCGTCACTTGGGTGTTTGAGTCGTAGTTTACAGGGAACTGTGAGGGAGAAAAATTATGGAAATGATTTCAACTATCGTTGAAAAGTTTACGGAGACAGCAGATTTGTTGACAGGAAAATGGTTGGAAGGAAATATAAGTCGATTAGACAACAAATCCAAAATTGACATTCGTCCCATGATATAGTATTTGTTTCATTTACTTCTAAATAAAAAAAAGTGATGAGAAAATATTTACTTGGTTGGCTCTCAACCGATCTATAGCATTAAGCTTGTGAATTTTATCTCACAATGGGCAACACTGAGTATACACTTGTTCATGAAATTGAGTCCGCGAGCGGGCAAATTGAACAAAGCGATTGGATTACACTTGATCCATTATTGGTGACGGCAGTCCATTCTTGTCCATCGCCGCTGTAGGCCACTTTGAACGATGCCACCCATGAGGTGTCCCCGTACCCCTGCGTGATAACGCTAGTGATGATCGAAGTGAAACCGAGGTCCACTTGGATCCAAGGATCGACTTCCTGATTTCCTGATCTCCTGATTTCCAGATTTCCTTTGCACCAACCTGAGGTCCCGCTTTCGGCTGCAAAGTAAGCAGAACTTAAATCAAACCGTCCGAGCATAAAAGTGTTTAGCAAATTTATGCCACAAGCACTACACCAGAGAAAGACCACACTTCCAGAGTAGGCGGATAGCTGCTAAGCTGAGCAGGAAATATCAGACTGCCAACTGTATGCGCTAAGCGGCCGGGAACCAGCCACAAGCAGTTAACTTCATATAAAATAATAGCTGGTAACCTTCCCCCTTTGGTCGCTTAGCAAATATGATTTGTACTTAGCACCTCAATTATGCTCAGATGTGGCTCTGTGATTGAACGAGGAACTGGGCTATGGGCCTTAGCCAAGCCTTACGCACGAGTCGGCCATATTGAATTGAAAGTGAGGTAAAATTTCATTATTGGAACTGGCGAAGAAAAGGGAAAGCAAGTAAATTACTAATTAATTCAATTCTTGCTTCAATGAAATATTGAACATTTGTAATTAAACATTCCCTAATGTTTTAAGTCAGATTTTTAAGAAAATGACAACAAAATAAGGCTGCATAAATAGTCTGGCACCATCCCAATCAACAGTTAATTTAAGAAATACATTCCGGGAACTCGACAAAAATGGCCAACTCATGCAGAAGGCCCATATAATGTAGAGGTACTGGTGAAATTAATAGATAGTTACCGACCAAAACAATGTCTGAGTCAAATTAAGCAAAACAGACTTCACTTTGAAGCAACATCCTTGATTAAACTCTTGATTTGTTTTAAGCTTTTGACAAATGTTCTTATTGAATCCTAACATTTTGTTTGAGTTGTCTTGTTGCTTGTCCCATGGAATTGTTGAACGAAAAGCCAATAAAATATTTACCCTGAGAGTTTAGCCGAACTCTGGTCGGTGCCAAAGAGTTGCTGAACTGTGACGACACTGTGATGCTTGCATCTGGGATGTGTCCATCTTCCATCCCAAAGGGTCCAGCCACAGCAGCGCACTCCAAAACGTCTGTCACAGGCAGTGGGAAAAAAAATCAGGATGGGCGGGGTTCATCAAAGCAAACACACAACTCTTTGGCCCAAAAAAAAATCTCCGGTTTCTGGTATGGAGCTTGCCCAAAAAGTGGTGCGGCGACGCGGCTTTTTATTTTTTTTTACCTGATTTTTTTTGCTTCAAATGTCGGCTGATGACTGCAAATGGTGCCATACTAAACTTAGTGCAAATATATGGAAGTCCAGAGAGGCCACATAAAACTTATTCTCGACCATAACCCAATCTAAAAACACGTTAAAATTGTGCAGCAGCAGGATTCCAGTCAAACCAGTGAGTTTGGCGGTTTTGAGACATCATCTTTTATTGAAAAAAAAAACCCTTTAATTTTGCCGACGCGCATGGCTACGGCGACGCGCGCGCATACCTATGGTGGCCCTGAAGGGACATCGCATATCGCAAACGTGTGCGCACACGTGTGCGATGTCGCGAAATTTATCGCGAATATGTGCGCACACGTATGCGATGTCGCGAAATTTATAGCGAATATGTGCGCACACGTATGCGATGTCGTGAAATTAATCGCGAATATGTGCGTACACGTATGCGATGTCGTGAAACAATTCGCGAATATGTGCGCACACGTATGCGAATTTGTTTGCAATGTCGTGAATTTTATTGCATACCTTGTCGCATACCTTTCAGTAAAATTCCTAATGAACTGGGGAGTTGTAGCAGCTAGTCTGGAATCTAGACGTACTGTTAGATATAAACAGGGTCTGACTTATAAACCTTCGCGCGCACGCAAGTTTCAAACTTGCGCAAGTAGCAAGTTTGCGCTCGACAGTACTAGTAGTAACGATTGCACGAGGACAGCGTGCGCGCGAAGGTTTATTAGTCAGACCCTATTTATATCTAACAGTACGTCTAGATTCCAGACTAGCTGCTACAACTCCCCAGTTCATTAGGAATTTTACTGAAAGGTATGCGACAAGGTATGCAATAAAATTCACGACATTGCAAACAAATTCGCATACGTGTGCGCACATATATTTGCGAATTGTTTCACGACATCGCATACGTGTGCGCACATATTCGCGATTAATTTCACGACATCGCATACGTGTGCGCATATATTCGCGATAAATTTCGCGACATCGCATACGTGTGCGCACACATTCGCGATAAATTTCGCGACATCGCATACGTATGCGCACACGTTTGCGATATGCGATGTCCCTTCAGGGCCACCATACATACCAGCAACCGGATACTTTTTTTGGGCCTTTTCCTGAAGGATATTTATCAGCCGGGCGCCGATTCCGTCCTCTCCTGATCTTATTACTTCACTTTTCAAACCATGCAGAATTTCATTAGATTTGCCTTATTTTTTTTCTCTTCTGAGACTCCCTGAGATTTCTTAAGCATTCTCTTGGAGTCTCCTGATTTTTATCCTTTGAAAATATTCATAAATACATGTACCTGAACAGGTTACCCATTCCCATTGGTCAACAGCCAGAGACAGGATTGAATTTAAACCGTTCACTGCGGCTTTCTGAGCCACATCAGGCGCTAATCTTCATACAGGAACTTTTATACCAGGTGAGTCAGAAAAAGCGGAACTTAAACCCCCAAAATTATATTTCATATGAAAAAAAAAATTAAGAGCCAAAAATAATAATGACTGGAAAGCGAACTTCATAAGCTACTTTTAAATGATAAAAGTACTGAAATTGCTCAATCTGTTCAAAGAATATTCCCCAGGCACTGTAGCTCGAAAACCTCGAGAGAAAAAAAACCCGTATAGCGTAGACAATGAGAAGAAATTACAGTTATAGAGGTGGGAGGAAAACCCCAGAAGAATAGTCTGGGGAAAACCCAAGGAATCGGGTAGGGACTGAAAACCCAATCCACATGTAGACCATGGGTGCCGATTCACAGCGCATTTTGCGCGTAAACGGCATTGCGTGTGCGCGTAAACGGCATTGCGTTCGTCACGTTTGGTGCGCTTTTTTGTATCTGTCCTCCAGCACGTGACCCTCCCCAGTGCCACTTTCCGTTTCGGTTACGATAATTTTATTTTCTGCAAACCTATACATGGTAAAGCTTACATTTTGCAGGCCATTTACTCAAGAGCAAATGTATTCAGTAAAAGCCTTTGATTAATTTGTATTCATACAGATGGGAGTAATGCAAATGCCAGTGTTTATTCATACGAACTACCGTATGGTATTATTTGTACATGTACTTTTTCGTGATTAACATTCATAAATGCAGTAATTTTTGCGCAGAATTATGCGTTTTTTATCTTCAAGGTAGCCCCAGCCTAACCTTGAAATATGACAGTAAATATTTGCAATCTGAAGCATTTACTCCTTTTTAGTCATAAGAAACGAAGTAAACGCTTATAGTGTAGCAAAAGCTTAAAGGTAAAAGTAATTATTTGCAGAATTTAGCAAACGGTTTTTAGTATTTTAGTAAAAGTGTTTGCTTAATTTACATTCATACAGATGCGAGTAAATGCTTCAAAGTGGTAGAAAAAGCAAATGCCATGCTTTATTCATACAAACATATGGTATCATTTGTACTTTAGAACTTTAATAAATGCAGTAGTATTTGCACAGAATTATTTTGCTTTATAATTTCAAAGTTGCCCCAACCCAGCCTTGTAAATGACAAGTGCATATTTGAAATCTGAAGCATTTACTTCCTTTTTATTCATACGAAACAAAGTAAACGATTATTAGGCCCAAAAAGGCTCGGGTTTCTGGTATAGGCGCGCGTCGCGATAGCCATGCGCGTCGGCAATGTAAGATGATGTCTTTCAATGACGGATGATGTCTCAAACCGCGAAACTCACTGGTTCGACTGGAATCCTGCTGCTGCACAATTTTAACGTGTTATTTCTCATAAAGTTATTTCTCATGTCTAATTTTATTTCAAGCATGAAGAACAAAGGAAAATGGATGTTCAATACAGTTTTTCTGAGTTTTTTATTTTTTGCACTCCCCAGGCACTGTAGCTCGCAAACCCCGAAAAAAAACCCGTAGAGAGAAGACAATGAGAATAAATTACAGTTTTAGAGGTGGGAGGAAAACCCCAGAAAAATAGTCTGGGAAAAACCCAAGGAATCAGGTAGGGACTGAAAGCAAATCCAGTAGACCATGGGTGCCGATGCACAGCGCATTGTGCGCGTAAACGGCATCGCGTTCGTCACGTTTGATGCGCTTTTTTGTATCTGTCCTCCAACACGTGACCCTCCCCGGTGCCGCTTTCCGTTTCGGTTATGATAGTTTGATTTTCTGCAAACTTATAAACGTGTAAAGCTTTACATTTTGCAGGCCATTTACTCAAGAGCAAATGGTTTTTAGTAAAAGTGTTTGCTTAATTTTCATTCAAACAGATGCGAGTAAATGCTTCGAAAGTGGTAGAAAAAGCAAATGCCATGCTATATTCATACAAACATATGGTATCATTTGTACTTTTGAACTAAATGCAGTAGTTTTTTGCGCAGAATTATTTTGCTTTATAATTTCAAGGTTGCCCCAACCCAGCCTTATAAATGACAAGTGCATATTTGAAATCTGAAGCATTTACTTCCTTTTTATTCATACGAAACAAAGTAAACGATTATTAGGCCCAAAAAGGCTCGGGTTTCTGGTATAGGCGCGCGTCGCGATAGCCATGCGCGTCGGCAATGTAAGATGATGTCTTTCAATGTCGGATGATGTCTCAAACCGCGAAACTCACTGGTTCGACTGGAATCCTGCTGCTGCACAATTTTGACGTGTTATTTCTCATAAAGTTAATTCTAATGTCTAAGTTTATTTCAAGCATGAAGAACAAAGGAAAATGGATGTTCAATACAGTTTTTCTGAGTTTTTATATTTTTTGCACTCCCCTTTCTGAAAAATCAAGCTTTGCCCCCCAAATGTGCAAGATCCAAGATGTGTTCACCTCTTAAAACAATTTCAGCCCATTTTAACTGGACCTGATAATTTTCAGGATTTTGCTACCAAACCGAATAATGTTTTCCATATTAGAAACAAACTGCTAATATATATCCCGTCTCTTTTGTACATTCAGGCCACAGGCCCACAAAATGGGTGGAAAGTAACTGGCCTTAGAATGCTACATTGTCATATTTTATGTTTAAGTTTATTTCAAACCATAGAAAAACAAGGAAAATTGATATTAAATACAGTTTTTATGAGTTTGTATTGTTTGCACCCCTTTAAAAAAAATCAAGCTCTGCCCCCAAAATGGGCAAGATCCAGGATGGGTTCCGATCTTAAAATGATTTCTAGCCCATTTTGACCCCACCTGCCAAATTTCATGCTTTTACCACAAAGTGCACGATTTGGGCCAAAAATGGACCTAAGCAGCTCCACTAATTGAGATAATGCATAAACCATGTTTCACCCAAAGTGCAACTAAAAACAAACAGTAAACTGCTTTTGATTTCAAACAATTTCATGGGGCCTTGGCTCTTGATTGGTTATCTATGCAGATATCTCATCATTCTCCCTATCAACAACATTTCTTCAATAATGTTTATTCATCTAACTTCTAAGCATTTTGCAATTCTTGCATAATTAAGTAGCTACGAGGGCCACAGGAAAAAAGAACAAGTCTGTTAATTAAACATTAAAGTAAACATGTACTCTGTAACCTATCAAAATTATTTGTTCTTAAATTATTGTAACCACACCGTTACAATGTCTTGTGGATGCAGTGCACAAAGCTGGAAGGGTGGTGGGGAGGGCGGCACTCGTGACAGGAAGTTTGAGAGGTTTACAGCACACAAACTGTTCTATTTGAGATTCGTCAAACCCATAAACCATTTTGGGCGACATTAAAACAAGAAAGAGGTTGTGGAATGCTCGAAGACATTTCCGTCATTTTTCAGTAACTGCCCCTTCAGCCTAGTAAATGAAAAGCAAAAAATGCAACGCAATTGAAACTGTTGTACACCATCCGAAATAACACCAACTGCCAGATTCACTTAGTCAGCATATTTATATACATTTCATTGTCTGCAGAGTTAAAACAGCTTTAGAAAAAGAGGTTGAGGATAAACTGCTCAGTTAGAAGTTTAAAGTTCTTTATGGTTTTTATTTATGTTAAATTATTGTACTTTTAAAAAGTGTTCATTTATTATAGTTACTTATTTTATTTCAGACCTTTTTTATGGTGTGGCAATCTTTAGTTTGTCCTGTAGGAATTGATTCAACTGAGAAGAGGCCGAGTACAAAAAGTATGTTTCCCATTGAACATTCTTGATTGTTTTTGATTTAATACAGGGAGCTCTTTACTTTTTTGAATACAGGGGATAGGACCAAGATTGTGACAGCGTAATAAATGTTTGTTCTTTAACATTGTTTACCAAAAATGTTATTTACCATGTTTAATCATGTTTTCATTTATTTGTTAAACTCATACTGGATTGTATCAACACCTCATTTCAAAATTAAAATCTTGGATGGCATTACCATTACTTCAAAAAGCAGCTCTACCCCATGATAAGTTAAGGCATACAACATGTCTGGACACGTGTATACGAAAAGTAAATATCACTCTTCCAATCTATCACAAAACCATTGAATCGAACGCAAGCGTGACAAAATCTAAAAACAGGCGACGGGCGACGGGCGACGGGCGACGGACGACGCACGGCGGGCGACGGGCGGAGGACGACGCACAAACTTTTGTTATGGCCGTGTGGCAGCGCGGTATGGCATGGCCGCCACACCCCATAGGGGATCGACACCACGAACAGATAGACAGTTGAAGACAGGTTTGCAGAACATAACCAACTATCTTTCATTAAAACAACTCAAGCAACTTAACAACTTGTTCGAATACAGCTTCGTGGGCCCGAGCAACCCGACGGCACGTTGAGGGACACAGACACCGCGTGCCCGGAGCCCAGCCCTTTTATAACACACAGAGTAATAACAGTTATATAACAAAGTATTTTAAGAACTCCATTATGCGAAGCTCGTAGCAAATTAACAAAAGGACAAAAATGTGGGCCGGTTCAGATAGCTTCATAACACTTTCAAACAGTTTTTTACCTGAATGAATTGGCTATTAAAAGTCAACCAATCAGATGACAAGGATTTATTCAGGCGTTAATATATAAAACAAATAATGAATGTTTCACGTTCGTGCAATGGAAAGAACAATTTCATTCGGTGACAGATGAAATGTTCCATTCCACTCGGCTTCGCCGGGTGGAATGGAACATTCGCCTTCGGGTCGGTCCAAGACCCTAAATGGTTTTAAACGTACTTGTTTAAAACCGGTCCAGCACATATTTATTACCTTGGTAACTTTAAATCTCTGTTGTAATGACAAAAAAAAATGGATACATACAATGGCATTTCTTCCCGGCCCGTTTAATAGTTTCTCAGTTTTCCAAGAAAGTGTGTCCTTATCATTTGCACTCATTGTCAAGAATTTAAGCAGACTGCGGCTTCGGCTGAGCCTCTCAGTCTGAAAATGATTTTCTTGTGTTATCCTTAATTACGTTTATGACATTTCCCTTCAATTTCCTCCCGATTTTGGATTTTCTTTGAACATTTCAGGACGTTAAAATTTCCTTAAAATAAGGAATATCTCTTAAAAGTGGAAGCACTGCCTGATCTTGGAAATGCGTTTTAATCTTGCTTTGTACACTGACGTCGTATCATTAAATACAGTGTTTTGTCAGTTACGGTCATTATTATGATAATTCACGCGAATGAGTTCAAATGAGTACGTTTTTGAAGTTTGCTAACTATAGAACTAGAGAACAACGGAGGTCTGCCGAGTTTAGCGCTACTAGTCTAGTAAAGTTACTTATTGTTGTCTGTTATGTCAACAAAATGATTGCTTAGGCTATATTGCTTTAGGAATAATTTAGGGTCAACTCACTTTACTGTGTGCTTTGGTGGGTTTAGTGTATTTTTTTCTAGGCTTGCTGCGTACGAGTAGAGACCAAGCCATATTGTAAACATAAACAACTGTGTTGTTTGTTAAGCGCTGACTATATCAGTCACAGAATTAAGGGCTGAGAAATGGGATACAGGTCGAGCGTTCGCGTCTGTACAAAAGGCACCCTCAGAAAGGGGTTCAGACAGACGGTGAAAATAGAGCTCTAACTCGTATCACTCCGGTCCGATTTCAAGCAAGTTTCTTATAATAGTTATTCATATTTCTGGGTGACATTCGTCGATGACATACATGCGGATAACATACATACTTACTTTCCGTCATTGCGAAAATCAAGGTGCATCCAACGACCATCAGGAGAAGCAGGCACATATAAACCTTCATTCTTGCTAATCTAGAAAAAGAGGGAGAAAAAGACAGACAGTTAAGAAACTTGCAATGATATGGTTCTTTCGCTTTTTCCCTATGTAAAATGTACATCAGCGCGAGTCTTTAACAACTTTGTGTCATTCTTGGGCAGATTACGGTATTGTGCTGTTTGTAGAGTTTGACTAGATGCAGCGGTAATAGTCACCTACAGCTTATGTTACTGTCGTTTTTTAGCATGTGCATGTTAAGTCATATCAATGTATAGGCCCTGTGGCAGTCTCTCGTCATGAACAAAGTTAATAGGACGCTCGTCTTTCCACTGAGCAACTTCCATATCAAATCTGGCCACGTTTATCCAAAGCTTACATTTCAGGTTGAAACAGACTTGAAAACCGAAGTCAGGAGGGAAAATGCACTGGATGCTTTCAAATTGATGTCTACTGAACGAATGCGTTAGAACAGTGCTGAGTTTGCCTTTTTTGAAGTAGGCCTAACAGGCTTCAAGCTGTAGCCAGTTTTGTCGAAACAAGTCATTTGAAGTATAAAGCCCATCTAGTAAATCTGACTCTAGGGGCGTAAAATTATACAAGATGTTCGCCCATGGTCCATTACTTTTAATTAGAAATTACACACGCATGCGTACAAGTGGTTATCGGAGGCAAGAAGTAAAGCTTATCGGTAAATACATGGCAAAACGAACACAAAATTGTTGGTCCTGATTTAAACTCAAGAGTTTTTTGTTCACAATTTGAAGGAAGTATAGATAGGATGATCCTTTATTGTTTCCGCATTATAAAAAGGCAGAAAAAGTCAGAACAATTACTTTACGTTATAAACCATATTATTATCAATTAATGTGTATATTCGATTAAAAAAATGAAATTGATTTACTCTTCCTTAAAAGTAATATATTGAACAAATGTATGTTTGGTTAAGGTGTTATTTATCGATTGACTAAGAAATTAAACAGATGAATTGGATTTGGAACAAAAGATTGTCGAAAAGGAAGTGAATTTATTTGTGGTGGACGGAGTCTAATACCAAAAACAAAACAGTTAAAAAGAGGCTGGCTGGAGTCCTTCATAATTGTACATAATTAGCAACCATTTGTAAACCTTCATAATAAACAGAGGTCAAGATGGATGGAAAAAAGTGATAAATTAGAAGTAAATTGGCGCAGTTTTTGATTAAAGTTTTTTTATTAAAGAATGGGAACAGTACCTTGTGGTTTTCCAAGCGCCTTTCTTAGATTAATGGGGAAAACCTGGTAGTACCCATCACCCCAAAAGTGTTTCATTGTTGTGTTTCAGGCTTGTGTGAATGGAATACATTATTAATGTAACCTTTGAAGCGCATTTCTGGTGCTGCACGCAGCTACCAAAACTTAGCATCAGTATCAATATATTTCAGACTTTACGGAGCCTGTAACGTCCTTGCAGTTTTATGCAACATATGTTTTACTAATAAATAACCGTTTTATGGCTTTTTTTGTCTTTGCATGGCCACATGGGTATAGTAAAATTCTGCTCTAAACTATTAGGCCTACATAAATGGTGAGTAGCTGCATCGTACACAAAGGTAAATCTTTTGCATTAAGATATGAGAGGAAAACTGGCGAGAACTATTGCAATCACTGGTTTTGAAAAACAAAACGGACGGGAATCTTTTTACTTACTGCTTCGTGTGATTTATACAATGGAATCAAAAATAATTACCCGACACCTGATAATGTCACGATCACGTATTTTCTTCTAGGACCATTTGTGGGTGATGTTCTAAGTATGTAAATTTACGAAAGTGCCCAAAGTGGAGTGTTTTTAAACGTGTACAAAACCTATGGGGATAAATACATCTCTAATGTGACGTAACCTAATAATACCTGATAATGTCACGATCACAAATTTCTTAAAGGACCATCTGTTGGTGCTGCTCTACGTATGTACCAAGTATGAAGTTGATCAGATTTACGAAAGTGCCAAAGTGGAGTGTTTTACAACGTGTACAAACCCTTTGGGGGAATATGCATCTTTAATGTAACGTAACCCAACACCTGATGACGTCACGATCACGAATTTCTTCTAGAACCATATGTGGATGATGGTCTAAGTATGCACCAATTTTGAAGTCGATCGGATTTACCAAAGTGCCAAAGTAGACTGGTAGTAACATATTGAACAAATGTACGTGTGATAAAGGTGCTATTTATCGATTGACTAAGAAATTAAGCAGATGAATTGGATTTGGAACAAAAGATTGTCGAAAAGGAAGTGAATTTATTTGTGGTGGACGGAGTCTAATACCAAAAACAAAACAGTTAAAAAGAGGCTGGCTGAAGTCCTTCATAATTGTACATAATAAGCAACCATTTGTAAACCTTCATAATAAACAGAGGTCAAGATGGATGAAAAAAGTGATAAATTAGAAGTAAATTGGCGCAGTTTTTGATTAAAGTTTTTTTATTAAAGAATGGGAACAGTACCTTGTGGTTTTCCAAGCGCCTTTCTTAGATTAATGGGGAAAACCTGGTAGTACCCATCACCCCAAAAGTGTTTCATTGTTGTGTTTCATGCTATGGTGAATGGAATACATTATTAATGTAACCTTTGAAGCGCATTTCTGGTGCTGCACGCAGCTACCCAAAATTAGCATCAGTATCGATATATTTCAGACTTTACGGAGCCTGTAACGTCCTTGCAGTTTTATGCAACATATGTTTTACTAATAAATAACCGTTTTATGGCTTTTTTTGTCTTTGCATGGCCACATGGGTATAGTAAAATTCTGCTCTAAACTATTAGGCCTACATAAATGGTGAGTAGCTGCATCGTACACAAAGGTAAAACTTTTGCATTAAGATATGAGAGGAAAACTGGCGAGAACTATTGCAATCACTGGTTTTGAAAAACAAAACGGACTGGAATCTTTTTACTTACTGCTTCGTGTGATTTATACAATGGAATCAAAAATAATTAACAAGCATATTCCAATATATAAATCATTATTTAAATAAAAAAATATATTTTTTTTAAATGCATAACTTTGAAAAAAAAAAAATCAATCTTATGAACAAAAAAAAAAGCCAAAACAAAGAAAATAAACTGGCCGGGGGAATAACTGCAAACAAGACACAACCGAAGGGAATTACACTGAGAAAAAAAAATAACGTAAGCCGGAGGGAAGGAAAACATTATATTACAGTAAAAACAAAAAAACCTATTAGGGGCCTACTTGGGAGGGGATAGGCCTTTTAATAATAGACAGGATAACGTCAGTTGGGATGGGGGGGGGGGGCATTGGATCACCACCAACATCACCCACCCCCAAATTGTTTTGGGTGTGAAACCCCCAACAATGTCTCTTTAGGGGTGTTCTTTTATCTTTCAAACAGTCCACATGTAACGTGACGGCATGTCTATTGTCAGGATGACGTTATCTTGTCAAGATGAACAGACTGTCACCATGGGTCTTAAATCATGTCAGCATGACAATGGGTTTGCTGTGAAAACATTGCAAAACTGACCACTCTTGGACGGGTGTCGGGACACCAGAATGTGCAGTGCCAATTTTGAAGTTGTTTGGATGAGCAGTTCTCGTAAAAGCTACCAAAAAGCAATATTTTCTGACTCAAACGTGGCAGTATTATAGCCTAGACCACCACGCGCTGCCGTCTTTTTTCAATTGTTTACGTCATGTTCGAGCTAAAGCGCGCATGCTCAATATTACGCAACAATGGAAAAAAGGACGGGCACGTTGTTGGGCGAAACCATTGTGCAGTTTGGGTGAATAGCACTGCACACCATGTCTCCGTATATACGTACATATTTGTGAGTGGCATGCACGGGCACATGCATTTTGTAGTCAACTGAGCAACCATCACTGCACTGTAAGTAGGCTGTCGACTGAGCAACTCTTACTGCAGGGCGATACCATATTGTCCAGTAGGGGTAAATATCAGTGCCAGGGGAGACGAAATGACTGCGCGTTTAACCTGCGAGTGTGCGTTCAACCTGTGGAAGCACCATTGAATAATGTGCGTTGTTTGCACGAGCTGCAGTTCTCAACTGCCCCTTCCGAACAGGCACATTTCCGACTGACCCTGCACAAGTAGTTCTAAATTCACAACGCAACGCCCCAGGTGCATTCTGCGCGACACCGTGCAGTACGCGCGACGCGCGCACCATTCTCCATAAAAAGGAGTTGTTTACATCTTACTTGCGAGCTGGACACTCCATTATTTAGCTAGAGGGTTGTTTCACAAAACATGGACTGAACTTGTTGAAGAAAATCAGGTTTCGTGACCGAACAGTTTTGACTTTTTTTTTTGACCGAAAAGGTATTGATGAATAGGAATAAATATGTGCCTGGTCGGTATTAATCACTCTGTTTAAGACCACTTAGCGTCTGGGTGCTGATGATTACCCGAGGCGAAGCACCCAAGTGGTATTAAGCCATATCCTTTTTCACTTCAGTAGGAATCTAGCTTATTCTTGAATAGATTGATTGACTTGGCATCCACTAGGGCCTACATGTGCTGGGAGACTGTTCCACTCGTTGATTACCCGGAGAGAGAGAAGACATTCTTCCTGCCATTCAGTCCCTTCTTCATCAGTGCTGGCTTGAACAATTTGTGACTGTGACCCATGAGCTGATTTGAATTCTTAGTGAATAGCTTGCTAGCTTCTTCAATACCTTCCTATCCATTGAGGATTTGAATATATTGATATATCGTCTCCATGAAGGTCATTCGTTGCACAAAATGATGATTAGACATGAATATGTTAGGAAATATATGCTTAGACAACTTTCTCGACTCTCCATAGACTTTGTACACAATCGCAGAAGTGGCGTCATGTTTCAACATTTTTTCCCATTTGACCAACGATTGACTTGTGATATACCTTCTGTAATATGTGAAAGCTGTTTTTTTGGTCCTTCGTTTTCCCTACTGGTGCCCCTGTCACAGCCACCGAGTCCAAGTGCAAGGAGTATTATGACGGTATTGCCCACCACGTGGGCCTGTCCTGTCCATTGGAGCCGTCGTCCAATGCAATCTACTGCTGCGAGTCCACCAAAGGGAACTTACAGTCGTGCTGTATTGAAACTGAATGGCAGAATCAATATAGGCCTAATTCAGGCCAGGATATCGACGATAGCATCACACCAGTTTACCTGAGGTATCTCTCTGCCTACCATTCTTACACATTATATTGATATTATTCTAAGTTTAAACTGCTCTTAAAATTTGCTGTGGTTTCTAATAAACATCCCACGTTTAAGGCAAAGCATGATCACTGAGAACGGCCTGGATGTGATTTCCCTACAAAAATGGAAGCGTGTTTTGGGTGGATGTGATATTGGAGCTAGAATGTGATTTTGGCAGGGATTTTCCAAAATCACATCCGAGCCGGAAATCACAGCCAGGATTATGTCCTAAGATCACATCCTGTGTCAGCGCCTTTCCAAAATCACATTCCGAGCACTCAAAATCACATCCAGTGAACTGGACGATGAACCTTACTAGGATGTTCGTAAATCACAGTCTTTAGCATCCTGTAAAATTATGGCACCGGGTGTGCAGTCGTTTTCAAGAAAAGATGTATTTTTGTATACATTTCCAACGGTGGTCGGCGGACTACCAATGGAAAACCTAACTATTTTTAACTACTGCTCCAAATTTACCATTTTTTCAGTCCAAACTTTGCCATTGTTACATGGTCATGAATGGGTGCAGGCCAGCTAGACTGGTTCCCTTACCCTACACATTTCCAGCATCTATAAATTGATCCATTTCATCTTTATTGGAGTCAGGGAACCAGACTACTTGAACATTTTTGTTTTTCTTGGTTGTTCCAGTATTTCGAATACAAAACCTCAAACATGTCAGTGTAACAATACCGGATCTATTATACTTACCCCTGAAATAGGTCATTTCTGAAACTTACAGCAAAAGCCAATGATGTACATTTTTTTCCCTTTAAGTCATAAACCCCAATGTCACATCCTGGTTGTCCCACTAGTCCAAAATCAGATTTGTCAAAGGAGATTAGTTAATAACAGGCTCTCTGTTATTCAATATCACATCCTTGTGGTCTAGCACTGGAGGTGATATTGGGATTCATGTCTTGATGTGCCATTTTGGAGAGGTGTGAGAACACGATGAGATTTTGGGTAGGGCCCAGTACATGGATGTGATTTTGGTTAAGTGGCCAGACAGTGGATGTGATTTTGGCAAGACGCTAACACAAGATGTGATCTTGGACTTCAACGACTTATCTCGGATGTGATTTTGGTGGTGTTGATGTGATATTGGGTAATCTCTACTAAAATCACATCCAAGCGAGTCATCTTTACATTTTTGTAGAGAAATCACACCCGAGTCGTTCAAGTGGAATTTAGTGGTTCAAAATGTACACGTATTTGTTTTGGGAGCTGAAGAATGGGATTTATATGGAACATTTTCATGAGCTGGTTTTAGACTTGAGGGAGACAAATTTGTATATACATTAGTGGAGGTTTCAAAAAAATAGGGACGTAATGGATATTTCTTTGTTAAATATAGGCTGATTATGCAAAGTGTTGTCCCTAGTGACGTGACACATGTGACGTCATATATCACATTAAAGGGAATGTACAGCATTTGCTTTTGCTGCAATTTTCAGAAATTAATGGATTTGGAGGATTAGTATGCTATAGCAAATACTGTTAAACTGACTTGTTTCACGTTTTGGGCTTGTTTATGCTGGAAAAACCAAGAAAACCAATCATTTTCTTGTAGTCTGGTTCCCCGACCCCACTTTAGATGAAACGGAGAAACGTAAAGACTTTTGGGAATTGTAAGGTCAAAGAATCACTCTAGCAGGTTTGTACCCCTTTACATGTGTGTAATCTATTGCAAAGGAAATGCGGCATAATTAAATATGAAAAATAGGAGCAGTTTTTGAAAAAAAAGCCAGTTTTCCAACGCTGGTCGGCCGACCAGCGTTGGAAAAATACAGTTTTTCTTGAAAATGTCAGCACACCAGGAGCCACGATTTTACAGGATGCTTTAGAATGTCAATCCCTAACAATTCAGTAAGGTATTTTGTGATAATTTGGTCATTTCGTTTTTTGATGTTTGCAAATGTTGTATCTTCCCTTTAATAAAACCTGATTCGTCTCATAATATAGCTGTCATTTTTTATCCATAAAACAAATCTATATCTCTTTCATCATTTGATTTGTCGGAGAGCAGGAACAAGTTTATTAGAAGAAAGGAGAGTATCAGATCAAAGTATATTCAATCACACTGATGTTCTTTGATTGTCTGTTTTTCTTCAGCCCCTATTTGTATTTGAGCGTTCCAGTTGCATTGATCCTTGTCGGCCTAATTGTTGGTATTGCGTCTAAAGTCGTTCGTTGTAAAACCTGTGCTGCCAACACGAACTCAACAATAGGTGAGTTTTTCATGTGTCTCTTTGGCAGAAGGCCTACCTCACACAAATCGTAAACGGAAAGAAAAAGATGGATAAATAACGTGCGTTAAACTAATTGATTTCTTTCATTTAGCCTGAAAATGAGTGACTGTAAATGTAGAGAATTTGGTTTGAAACTACAGGGTAAGGACGAAAATTAAGTGTGTTTATTGCCACATTGAGCAACTTCGTACATACAAGGTGAATAAAAAAAAAAGCGGAACCCAATCCCCCAAAAATTGTAGTCCGTATTAAAAAAAAATGTAGCAACAAAAACAATAATGATTGGAAAGTCAATTTCATAATTTTTAGATGAAAAATTACTGACAATGCTTAATCCGTTCAAAAATATCACCATTTAAACGCAATGACCCTAAAACCTGTTTCTTACACAAACAGATATTGTGTATTCTGACTGTAGGGAACAACAAAGTAAATGACACTTAATGAGTACTGAGTAATGAGAAAATGAGTATTTGTTTCAACAACTGTCAACAACTGTAGTAAAATGAGTATTTGTTTCAACAACTGTCAACACACTATCTTTATTAACAACCCTGGTTAGGCAAACATTATGAATTATAAAAAACCAACTTCTTCTTTTTTAAGACGGGCCTTCAAAAGGACTTTGTTGAACATTTTTAACTTTTAAACTGAGGTTTTATCGCTGGTGATGTTTGAAGACAATTATGAAGACGATTCTTTAAAATCGCATTTTTTGACGAAAGAGGTTTTAGTGTGATTATGTTTAAATGGTGATAGTCTTTAAAAGGACTGAGCAATTTCAGTGTTTTTTCCATCTAAAAGTAGCTTATGAAATTGGCTTTTCAGTTATTATTATTTTTGGTGCTCTATATTTTTTAAATATGAAATATATTTTTGGGAGTTTGCGTTCCGCTCTTTTTTACTCACCCTATTTTTTACGGCAAGCAATCGGTATAGGGCCAGCCAAATGCACAGGAAATTGAACATTGCGACAAGGGCATTTTTATATCCCTGCAACTTGTGACGTGGACTTGTGATTGATTTGAGATGAATTAATTTACAATTGGGTTAGCTTGATTACAAAAGAGTGGATATCTCATGAGGGCGATTATAAATGGTGCACTGCCGACATCTTTGAGATGTGATACTATTGATCAACAGGGATACTCATTAGTAGACCTCTTGCTTTAATTATGAATGATCAATATTGCTGTTGAATGCAATCAGACTATTCAGTTCTGATGAAGCTTGAATTGTTTCCAGATACCGTATCCTTTCTTCTTCGCTCCGTAGCTACAACATGTACCGTTTTAGAAGTCACAGGGCCCACCTGTACTCATGGTCCGTACCAACTGATCGACAACCCACCTAGCTACCCCGTTACACCCTCAACTAGGTTGGGCCGTCCGCAGTAGGAGTATAATGCAAGCAAATGATTTGCTTAAAAGGCTGGTATTTCAACGCTAGGCCTACATATCTTAAGCCTCTTGGCAAATACTGAACTGAAATTATATTAAATCAAGACAGCTAGAAACATTGCTTTAGGAAAAATAGTGCATTCGTCTGTTTTGATGGAATAAGTTCAGGTATGTTTTTAAAAAAATAGACTCAGACAAACGCAATGTACACGCATGTGTATTATAGTAATGGTTTACACGGTAAAGTTGATGATTTTAGGATGCACTCGACCTCACCTGAGATTTCATATGAACAGTTTATTTCAAAACGCGATATTTATCCATTTGAAAATGAAGGTGGGACATTTGCACTGTTATTAAACTTTGAAGAATAACAACAATAGAACCACTGATTCTTAGGCCCCCCAAAAAGTCTCCGGTTTCTTGTTGGAGCGTGCCCAAAAATGGTGCGGCGACGAGGCTTTTTATTTTTTTACCTGTTTTTTTTTGCTTCAAATGTAGGCTGATGACTGCAAATGTTGCCTGACTAAACTTAGTGCAACTATATGGGAGTCCAGAGAGGCCACATGAAGCTTATTCTCGATCATAATCCCATCAAAAAAACACGTTAAAACTGTGCAGCAGCAGGATTTCAGTCAAACCAATGAGTTTGGCGGTTTTGAGACATCATCTTATGTTGAAAAAAAAACCTTTTTGATTTTGCCGACGCGCTTGGCTACTTTTTCAACAAACTTTTTCATTTTGCCGACGCACATGGCTACGGCGACGCGCGCGCATACCAGAAACCGGAGACTTTTTTTTGTTGGCCTTACCTTCAGTTTTTTTTTGTTTTAATGTGTTCTCAGATTGCGTTTATCTATATAACAGCCGTCGAAACATGTGCCATATAACAGCCGTTGAAACTTACTTTGAGCAACCAGGAGAGGGCGGGATTGTTAAAGGATACAAAATGGCGTTTATCGCGTGTTTGGAAATGTAGCCTCCATATTCAACTTTCATCGAAATTGCCCGATGAGACATTAAACGTTACTGTAATAGGCTCTTATGTGTTTCTACAATTTTTTCAAAGCTCGTTCCCCACCAACAAAAAAAAAAAAAACCCAAGCGGCAGGATTTTTGTCCATGGTGAGCATGAACTTGATTCTTGTTGATATGTTAAAATGTGAACGCCCGTGGTATTCCAAGAACTGTTCACGAGATTGAGCTCTTCAAAAACACCAAATCTGTTAAGGTTTAGAGTGACTAAACAGACTGTCGGTGGAGTTTTTACTTAAAGGTGTATTTGTTTTTTTATTTAGAAAATGTCTTACATTTTTGTACTCAGTTTTAATCAATCGCCCTGTTTGTGGTCAAAAGGTAATTTTAAAACTTGTACAAAAAAACCCAACAATTTGTAGAAGACCTTGCTAAATTGTCTTCATTTACCTTTGATGAATTACCAGTCTCAGCTAAATCACTGTTCTTGAAGTTCATATGTAAATAAAACTATAGAAATACAGACTCTTCCTTTTCCAAATGGACACTAAGATCGTTATTAAATTTGATGCATTAGATTTTGTTCTACAAACTGACAAATTTCATTAATTATAATTTTTGCACTGAACCTGAGTACTTTTATGAAATGTGTTTAGACTTTAATGTATATTTGATTCTTTATTTGATATAAACACAAATCTTTGTAACGAAATTAATCTGCATGATGTAAAAAAAACTTTGGCGTCTCTAGAAAAGGCTAGTTGTCTTTTTGTAAATGCTAAAATCTTTCTTACAGTCATCTGAAAGATATACTGGTTTAAAGTTTGAAAAGTTTAATTTAAGTTTCTCTTTTCGTCTAAACTAAGTGAAAAGTGAAATCTTGTAACCAACTTAATTCGCCAGCTGCGAATTTATTTGTTTACTTACAAATGTTTAAATAGTTTAAAGTGACTTGTCTAAAGTCCTCTTATGAATGTATTAATTACTACCGCCCTTGCAGAAGTTCTCCTTAGTTGGGAATAGGAATTTTTGTTGGCATTGTTTAAGGCGAACACGTGAATGCCTGTGCTTAGTTGAGACTTAGGGCGTGGTGCAGCGCGAAATTCAAGACAGTCATTCCTGTACTTGCCGTCCTGAGAGAAGGACCGACGTAGAGCGCTGTTCTTTCTCCGTTCTTTGCGTTTCCTGACTTCAGCCACATCACCTTTTCTTCCATTACAACTCTTGCTATTACTTTGGTACCTCATTATGAAGCCTCGCCAAGCCGTATCTGACTTCTGACGGCTCCTTTTTGTGCATAAGTACCTTCCGGTGAGCTCAATTTCAAAACGATTTTTTTCTAATGTAAGTATGTATGTTTTAGTGACTGTATTGACGTATTTTCATAATTAACATTGCCAATATAATTATGATGCCTCCATATTGCATTATTATGGCTAATTAATATCTTCATTGCTGTATGCCAAATAACCTCATTTTACAAATAAAGTTGGTTATTTAAGGTGTCGTTATTTTTTGTATAGTGCAAACTGTAGATAATTTTCTTATGAAAAATAACAAATGTTCACACGTACTTGTATAGATTAGTGTCAATGATAATTTCATTTCTGTAATCCATATCTGTGGCAATTGCTGTGGTAGCTGTTACTTGAGACGATACCTACCAGTCAATCACTCCCTGGCAGGTACATAATCGCTAATTGTTCATATTTGCAGAAAATTATAAGATTGGCATTGCGTATTTTCCGGGTATTTTACCTCACATTAACTCTACATTAGGTTTTTTGAAGAAGGCTTCTTCAATTTAAAATTTCCTGTTTATTGATACATAATAAATTTTTGTTTGGACATAATATGTTTTATGTTTGGACAATATGCTGATTTTAATATTTCAAGTGCCTCGCATGTTCATGTTCTGTTGTCATATTGAAATCATGCAACTTTACGAATTGATCAACATGACCGCTTTGATATCATTTTGCAATTGTTATATTGTACATAATATTGCCGCCTTACTTTCCTACTCAGAGCAAGTGATATCAATGTTTTGTAATTATAAACAGACTTCCTTGATATCTGGTAGCCTTGTTGTTCCCCTCGTAGCCTAATATACCCCTCGTAGCCTTGTTTTTCTCCTGGTAATTTCCCCATATATTTAGTCAGCAAAATATCTGGATCACCGCTAACCACCAGTGGTAGTGTGGAAAATAAATTGCCCGGATGAATATTTATGGGCGTTTATTTTGCGCAACTTTGTTTCGCGGTGCGATGTGCTACTTCGTCATTTTTCATCACACCTATGAATATCAAATAGTCTGGAATAATTTGGAGATCACAGTAATTCTACAGTAACAGCAATTGCTATACATTCTGCAGTTAGTTTCTGTGATTGAACCTTCATGTTTAGTTTACGTTTTGGTCTTGCATGTACATAAATTGAAACTTGTTGGTACCATCAGGGTTCAGAGTTCAGACTCGGCGATAAAGACGTGTTATTTTCGTAATTTGAATATGATCAATGCCTCACATTTTAAACTTGTGCTGTATTGTGCAAAATTGACGATGCGTGACGACCATGGCCCGCAACGTGCCAGACTGAATACCCGATGATATATTTACTTCCTCCAACTTACACGCAGTAGGCCTATAGTTGTGTTTTATGCTAGGTGTGGTTTTCATTGGTTTCGATAGTCTGATAAAATGGCGCACTTCGTATTGCAGTTGGTCGTCTTTGTAGCACTGTGCTCATTCTCCAAAGGTAACTCAGGAACACTTCTCGTTTGGTTAAGTTGAGTATTGAAATGTAATGAAAACTGACTTTTTTTTTCAAGTAGATGTTGGGGGGGGGGGCGAATTATTTCCACCACTGTACCGACTTCATGTCTATTTTGCCAATTTTTTTTTTTTTTAGTTCTTTTCGAAGTCGTAAGCCGATACACAATCGAAAAAATGTTTTCAGCAGGCGGTAACAGAATGATCATGGTGTATTGCGCTCTCCGTGATCAGCACACCTATTGTTACTGGGTGTTTCTCAAGAGGAAAGAAACCCCTTTTAATTATTAGACTTTGTTAGAATCATGACTTGTAGGTTTAATAATCACACTGATACATCATATTATATTATATTTAAGGGATCAGAGTAATTAAAACAAAACTAGGCCGACCTAATTTTCAACCGAATACTTCTGGTTAGAAGCGTATGCCCTATAGGAGATCTAACGCTGTCTTACGTCTGTGCATTGCCAAGTCACTATCACGTTTTGCTTTTACCAATTAATGAGTACATCGGCAGGTGTCCTGCGCACGCCCTAACGCTAATTTCATGGAAATTCTGACCTTGTATCGATTTTGCAAGATCTGGAATAGTTCCAACTCAAAGTAGTGAGAACCGTTTTCGTTGTCAACACACGAGGAAAAGGTGTTTGTTGTAAAAGTTATTGACAACGGTATAATGCTTTGCTTGATATATGTTAAAACTGAAAAAAATTAACATGGATGTTCCTTATAAGAAACATCCATCATAGGGATTTAAATGCCTGTTCTAGGGTTAAAGTTGTTAGTTACCAGATTGTATTCCATGTTTCTTTAATTAAATACCGAGCCTTTCACATCTTTCTTTCAAATTTTTCTTTAATTGAATACCAAACCTCTCAAATCTTTCTCTCGAGAAAGTTTTCAGAAATGTGAAGATGTTTGGACTCATGGACACCTTAGTTACATAATCAAGTCGATCCCATGTCAAATAAAATCACAAGTTAGGTCACTGATGTGACTGGGGATAAACAAAGATGAAAAAATGCCTCTTTCAAAACTCATTTGAGAACTAGATTTGTCCCTTGACTTTAGACTATTTGACAACGATTGACATGTGAATGAGGTAATTATTTGAGGGTCTGAGTTACACATTTGCATAGGGCTTTTACCTTCTGATGTTTCATGAACGTTCTTTGGTCCTTAATTTCCCTACTATTTTAAAAAGTGACTCCACGTCATGCACGCGAATCGAACAAGTTAAAGGGAAAATACAACATTTGCAAACATCAAAAAATAAAACTACCAAATCATTTTGAAATACCTTGCTGGACTGTTAGTGAATGACAGTGTAAAGCATCCTGTAAAATCATGGCACCTGGTATACTGTCATTTTCAAGAAAAGTGGTATTTTTGTATCAATTTCAAACGCTGGTCGGCCGATCAGCGATGGAAAAAACTGGCTTTTTTTAAATACTGGCCCCAATTGACCATCGCACTTGTTTGCGGGTACAAGCCAGCTAGACTGGTTCCCTGACCTTACAATTCCACAATGTATGTAAACTGCTCTGTTTCTTCTTATATGGAGTCAGGGAACCAGACTACAGGAAAATGATTGTTTTTCTTGGTCTTTATAGCATTTTCGAACCCAAAACCTCAAAAAAGTCAGTGTAACTATATTTGCTATATATTTCCAATCCCCAATTCCATCCATTTCTGAAAATTACAGCAAAAGCAAATGATGTATATTCCCTTTATGCACGTGAAGTGTCGACGTTGGGTAAAACACACCATCCCATGT